TTTATTAAGACCTGAGGCTTGTTAATTCTGAAAGCCTTGATGGCAGCAATTCCTAATATCTAGAATCCCTCTCAGGCCAGGTTGTGTCTTTATTTAATGGCTGAGAAACTGCTAAAGGTATAATTTTACAGGATGAAGTTTCCCTTTGTGGTGCTCCCTCTTCTGTCTTTGGGCTCCTCCTGCACAAAGAACACGTTTCCCTAATCTTTCTGCAGGTGCCCCTTGCTCAGGTTTTTCATTCAACAGCGACCACCATCATTTTGTCTTGATATAATCTGACGCATACACCAGAAATTAACATGTCAGTCAGGTACTCTTTTAATTCCTGTTAGACTTGGTATCATCCCTCTGAATGTGACCATATAAGTCATAGCAGTTGAAATTGCCAGGACAGAGGGAGAAAGAGAAAAACAGGAAGGGGAACCAAGGGCAGAACTTTGGGAAATGTTTACAGTCAGAGGAGAAGTGGGGAGAGTAAATAGGAATGATTGAAAATAGAATCAGGAGACAGAGCACAATGTCATGGAAGCCAAAGGAAGAGAGATATTTAAGGAAGAAAAGGTTGTCAGCAGGGTCAAATACTGTCTAGAGTTCAAGTAGGATGAATGGTGTGAATGGGATTTGTGGTTTCAACAGGAGCTGAATTAGCTGTGATTCTGTGACTCAGTGGTGAATTATCATACTGTAGTGACCTGTGTGGCAGAGAGTCTAGTGGAATCCATGACTTAGCAGAGATGTGTTGATCACAGGCTATGCCATAGAGCACAGATTGTGTGGAGCATATTTTTAGGCCTGGGATGTACCTCAGGGGTCATCTAGTCTAAGCCTCCCTCATTTTACAGGTGAAGAAGTTGAGATCCTAAGAAGTTAAGTGACTTGCAAGGTCCTACAGGTTATAACAGTGAGAACTGGAAAGTGAACACAGATCCTTTGACTCTAAAAGTCAGTGCTCTTTCCATCATTGTCCTTTTTTAAAATGTTGTCAACAGCTTTTGTTTTTACACCACTTCAATTTCCAAATATATCTCTCCCTTTTTCAGAGAGCTATCTATCCCTTATTTCTTATTCAGTCATTTTCAGTCATGTCCTACTCTTCATAACCCCATTCAGGGTTTTCTTGGCAGAGACACTGGATTGCTTTGCCATTTCCTTCCCTAGCTCATTTTACAGATGAGGAAACTGAGGCAAACAGGGTGAAATGATTTGCTAGTGTCTGAGGCTAGATTTGAACTCAGGTCCTCCGCACTCCAGGTCCAGCATTCTATCCACTGCACCCAACTGCCCCTGTGATAAATAATGGAATTAGGGTGGAAACCCCACCCCTTATTCCAAGGAAAAAATTGAGGACAAGAGAGGAAATGTGTGACCTTGAGCTAATCACTCTAATCTTTTCTTATAACAAGGAATATTTTAAAAGAATGAGAAAAAAAAAACAGTTCAGCAAAGCTAACACTCTAACGAAGTCTGACATATAATAATATGTGCCACATATTATTGTGTGGCATGTATGTTATTATATGTGATATGTAATAACACATGTCAAACCAAGTGTTTGTACCAAGTTTGACATAAATTGTCTTACCCACCTGACATATAACATTTCATACTAACTCTGCCATAATATTGTGTTTTACCCAGAAGACATAGAATGATATGTCATGCCAAGACAGACATATGATAACATATTTTGGCACTCATTTTAATGTATGACATGTCACCCTTAAAGGTAAGTATTGTGGGTGATACAAAATATAACTCTAAGTCCCTTCCTTCACGGTGCTCACAATGTAATTGGGAGTGAGGGGAAGAAGGAAGTTAATGTGTATAACAATGAAGTGTCAAAGTTCATGGCCATGATCAGTTTGAGAAATCTGGACTTGATATGGTAGGGTGCCATGCCAGATTCTTGAGTGGAGAGATGGTGTCTTGAAAAATCAAAGATGCTCTAAGAAGATTGGCCTGATAATGAGATTCAAGATAGACTAGATGGGTCAAGTCGAGGAGACCATTGCCATAATTCATATAAAGTGAGATAATGGCCTGGGCTTGCTTGAGAGGTGACCATGACCATGAAGAATGATGGCAGAGAGTGGGTGTGATGAATAAGTCTAAATGAGAGCAGCCAAAGAATGAAGGAGCTCTCTCTTCACCCTCCTTCCGAGTGGCCCAAGGAACAGAGGGTACTGATGAGGTATGACTAATAAGGCTGATGTGACATTGCAGGATGATGCAGTTCTTGTGAGTCTCATGGGAAACATTGCCTGCAAATGCCCCATACCCTACTATGAGAAAGGATAATAATAATAATAATAGCGAACATTTATATAGCACCTACTATGTGCCAGGCACTGTGCTAAGGGCTTTACAATTATTTTTTCATCCAATCCTCATAACAACCCTGGGAAGTAGGTATTATTACTATCCTCATTTTACAGATGATGAAACTGGGGCAGCTAGGTGGTGCAGTGGATAGAGCACCGGCCCTGGATTCAGGAGGACCTGAGTTCAAATCTGGCCTCAGACACATAACACTTACTAGCTGTGTGACCCTGGGCAAGTCACTTAACCCCATTGCCTAGCCAAAAAAAAAACAACAGATGATGAAACTGAGGCAAAAAGAGATTAAGTGACTCATCCAAGGTTACACAGCTAGGAAGTGTCAGAGGACAGATTTGGACTTAGGTCATCCTTGATTTCAGGCCCAATACTCTATCCACTGAGCCACCCATCTGCTCCCAAGAAAAGGAATTTCAGCAGAAAGTAGATACCTAGCCCTAGGTGCCTTCCCACTGATGGAAAATGTTAAGAGGCCCACAGTGGGAAGAGTATCAGCTTTGGAGCCAGAGGACCCCTGGATTTAAATGCCACATACTGAGATTCAAGATAACAATTCTTTTTCCCCATCCAATTTATTCATTCTCCCACCTCATCTGTGAGGGCTGCTTACACCATTTGAGAAGCTCACCTAATCCTCCCAAAGCTTCACAATTGTGTTTGTCTGACCCGGCATGTTAAACTTGCCAAGGATGCCTGATTGGGATGGACTTTTCCCTTGGTGCCTGTCTCCTGTTGAATTTCAGTGAGTGTGCTGAGTAGCAGGGGTGAGTGAGCCCCAGCCTCTGCTAAGACATGGATGTGGCTAATTGGCTCTTGCTCTGCTGTACTTGTGTGACGTTCAAATGAGATCCCGAGGTAACCTTTCAAATCTTAAAGTGCCATATGATAGCTACTATTATTATAGAATGTAAGCTCCTTGAGTGCAGGGACAGATTGCATTTTAATTTTTATATCTTTTGTATCTATCATGTTTGCTGTTGTTCAGTCATGTCTGACCCTTTGTGACCCCCTTTGGGGCTGTCTTGGCAAAGATACTGAAATGGTTTGCTATTTCCTTCTCCAATTCATTTTACAGATGAGTATACTCAGGCAAAGAGTCAAGTGATTTGCCAAGGGTTACACAGCTAGTAAATGTCTGAGGCTGGATTCAAACTCAGGTTTTCCTGACTCCTGGCCTGATATTCTATTCACTGAGTCACCTAGCTGCCCTAAATCTACTAAGTTATGGGTTGCAATCTGTATTCATGGAGGCAGTTCCCACACTGGGAATTCTTTGTGCCCAGCAAAATCTCAGATCTTTGGGGTATTTGTAGAGGTATCATTTGGACTCTCTCCCTAAGCCAGAGTGGAGTTTGGCCCAGTCCCCTTAACGGGCAGTTCATCCAAATCCCCTGAACCCACAAAATATTGGCCACATGGGAAGACTACTTAGCTGAGTTGCTTCCTTAGGCCATAAATTTAGAGATGGAAAGGAATTTAGAGGTTACTTGGGGTCCAACCCTCCTCATTTTAAAGAGAATGCCACTGAGGACCAGAGTCACCCAGCTAGCAAGTAATCAAGTTGGAATTTGGACCCAGATCTTCTGAATTCAGCCCCAGTTCTCATTCCAGTTAACAGAGGGCAAGAAAGTGAATTCTTTTTTTTGGACAACCAAAATGCACTTGGATGGTCTTGGGAAATGGCCTTTCTGAACAAAGAGCTGGGCCAATGCACTAAATCATGTCATTATGTACAAGGGACCCTGATGGGATGGGAAGCTGATGCTCCAGGACACTAGAAACACAAGTAAGGTTTTCTGAGTTAGTGGCCACAATGACAGCAGTTGGCCCTGGAATGGATGTTATTAAGTGGGCCGCTGCAGCTCTGTGTTGGCCTGAATACTGATGGTGGAGGCTGCCGTGGAAGCTGGTTGACCCAGGCAAAGTCACTGCATGTCTCCCTGCTTTGGGAGTCCTGTCAAATCTCAATCTAGATGGATGGCAGCCGCTGCCCAGATAATTAGGCAAGCTGAGAATCAGGCTGCTCCTGATTTTATTGTGAAAATTGGGCTTCGAGGAGGGGGTTCCAGGCCTTCTGGGTCTCCACTTGTTTATAACTGCTGGCCAGCAACTTTTAATTAGCATTTTAACAAAATGAAATCTCAGAGACAGAGCTGCAGACCGGGTGTGATTTTTAGCATCCAGTGTGGTGGTCTGACCAGGAAGTGTCTTGTTGCCTTGGGTCAGGGTGGGAATCTGTTCTTCATCTTCTACTCAGGCCTGGGTCTGACATGGATCTCAAAGTGCAGTTAACCTGCAGGCAGAGTCTTCTCAGCTCCCCCATCTCTATTACCCATTTTCCAAGGCTCAACTCAAACACACCCTTCTCATGGAAGCTTCCTCTCATTTCTTTCATTTTTTTCCAAACCCTTTTCTTCTCTTAGCTATTAGACCACTTCAAGAATGATCCAGGACAGGTCACAGGAGCATATTATTTAGAACTTGATGGGTACATAGAGATCTTCACATCTAACCTCCTAAGGATTAGAAAATGTTAAGTGACTCATGTAAGGTCACACAGCTGAGCCAGAGGAGGGGGCAAGGAGAGGAGGAAGAGGGGAAGAGGGAGGGAGAGCTGAGTTCCTGTAGGCCCATGCCCGCCGCGTGGTCTCTTTATGTTACAGGAGGCAGACACAGATGACAACCAGGGCACACTGGGCTTTGATGAGTTCTGCGCATTTTACAAGATGATGTCTACCCGCCGGGACCTCTACCTGCTCATGCTCACCTATAGCAACCACAAGGATCATTTGGACACAGAGGATTTGAAGCGCTTCCTGGAGGTGGAACAGAAGGTGACAGAGGCTTGGTGGGAGGAGAGAAGGAGCCTGAAAATGGATAGGGGGAGAGAGGGTGCCTGGGAAAGAGCAGGGGGAGAAGGGGAGCCTGGGAAGGGGCAGGGGAAGAGGGGGAGCCTGGGAAGAAATGGGGAAGTATGGAACAGTCACTTCATATCCCTGGGCTGCTATCTCTTCAGCTCTAAAATGAGGGGGTTGGACTGAATGGCCTCTGAAGTCCCTTCTAGTTCAAGACCTATGATCCTAAGTCACCTAAGTAACCTCTTTGAGCCTCAGTTTCCTTAGCTGTAAAATGAGGGAGCTGAGATAGATGACTTCCGAGGTCTTTTCCTCTAGCTCTCTGATCCCATGGGGCACAGAGCAGTTCATCAGTCAGTAAGCATTTATTAGGCACTTACTGTATGGCAGGCATTGTATTAACTCTGAGGATTTTTTAAAAAAAGGAAAAAAAGTCTCTATGCTCTGAGAGCTGCTCACTGTCTAAGGGGGAACAATCATATAAATAACCAGGTACGTACAAGGTCTGTACATTATGAATGGAAGGCAACCTGAGGGAAGGCTGCAGCTGTGAAGAGAACTGGGAAAAGCTTCTTGCTGAAGGTCACCCAGCTAGAAAGTATCAGAGATGGGATCTTCCCTCAGGTTCACCTGACTCCTGGTCCAGCACACCAGTGCCTGTCTATGCTGCCGCCCAGAGTACTTGACCAATAAATGCTTGTTGAAAACAAACATTAATGGAGCTTGGATTGCCTTCTCAGCTCTCTGGAGGAGAAGGAGCTGGAAATCCTGTCCTCTCTCCCAGGGAGCTCACAGTTTAGTGAGACAGGCCATGCAAGCACAATGAGGCAGATTTTATAAGGCAGCTCAGTGCCCAGTGAACAAGCTAATGGCATCCCACAATCCTGGGAGGGCAGCGAAGAACATTGACAGCTGTTTGTGCCGGGCCTCAGTGGGCACCCGGCTTTGTTCAGCTCTTTGAGTAACCTTGAGATGCCTCCTGGGCATGAAGTGCCCCAGAAGCTCTAAGCCATAAGGGCTTGGCTGCCCCATTTTAACAGACAATGCCCACCAGGATCATCTCTGGCTGCAGGATCCAGGTGTCTCCAGGACACAGGCTCCCACTCACTCAACATAATTATGTCATGGATCATAGTTGGACATTATCCCCTGATGCCTCATTCTAGAACATGCACTACCTGTCTAGCTTCTTTCTGAGGCTGCCATGGCCCATCCTGGTGGCAAGAGCATGGCGGAAGCCAGAATTTACCAAGCATTTATGAAATCATAGGCGTTGTGCTTGCTGCTGGGGCTACAGAGAGAAAATCAAATGGTTCCTGCCCTCAAGGAGCTTTCATTCTAAAGAGATGAAACAACACGCAGACAGATAAAGGCATACAAATCCAAATATGTGGAGTGGGAAGGCACTAATAACTGGGGTCAGGAAAACTATCCTGTACGATGAGCCTTGAGGGCAACTGGAGGTTCTAACAGGCAGGAGTGAGGAGAGAAGGCATTTTGGACCCGAGGAGAGCCTGCTCCTAAAGGTGAGAGCCAGAGGGTGCGGCAGGAAGGGTCAGTTTGGCCCACCATGGTGTGGGTGATACAGTCATAGCAGCAAGCCTGGAAGGAAACAATGGAGCCACGTGGGGAAGGGCTTTAAAGGCTGCTTACCCTCTCTAGGCCTCAGTTTCCTTCTCTGTAAAACAAAGGGGAGAGGTGAATTAAACAGCCTCTGAACACCTTTCAGCTCTAGATCCAGGGTCCTCAGAGCCAAGCAGAAGTTTGTGTTTTGAGCCTGGAGGCAATTTTGTTCTTGAAGAATCTTTGTGTGGCTGTGGTTAACTTAGGAGGGGAAATGATTCAAGTAGTTAGTGCTTGAGGCAGTGGACTCAGCCCTTGGAGCAGGGGTTTTCAGAGAGAGAGAGAGAGAGAGAGAGAGAGAGAGAGTGTGTGGTGTGTGTGTGTGTGTGGTGTGTGTGCCCATGGACCTCTTGGGCAGTTTGGTGAAGCCTACAGACCCCCTCTCAGAATTGTGTTTCTAAATGCATAAAATAAAATGCACAGGATTACAAAGGAAAACAGTTATGTTGAAAGAAAGCAAAGAAGAAAGGAGGGAGAGAAGAAGGAGGAAGGAAGGAAGATAAAGGGAAAGGAAGGAAAGATGGTAGGAGGGGGGGAAGGAAGGAAAGAGGGAGAGAGAAAGGAAGGAAGAAAGAGGGGGAGGAGGGGGAAAGAAGAAGGAAGGAGGGAAGAGGAAGGATTTACTGAAAGTCTTTTCTGTTCAAGGCACCATACTAAGTGCTTTACAAATATCTCATTTGATCCTCACAACAACCCTGGGAGGTAGTTATTATAATTATCCCAATTTTACAGCTGAGGTAACTGAGGAAGATAGAGATGAAATGACTCATCTAGGGTCATAAAGCTAATCAGTGTCTGAAGTAGGATTTGAACTCAGGTCTTCCTGATTTCCTGATTTAACTCTGCCACTAGTTGCTTCTGTTGTTATCAAACACTATTTTTTAAAAGTTCTCAGACCCCAGATTAAGAATCTCTGTCTTAGAACTTTTCACCACAGACAGCCTGTTTTTCTGGTTCCTATCAGATTGGTGGCAGGGGGGCATCCTCTGGACTTTGTGCACCCACTGGCATTAGGCTCCAGCCCTGCTCTGGCTCCTTTGCTTTGAAGAGGAGGTGCTCAGAGGGGTTTCTTGGGGAGGATCCCTGGACCAGAGCATGATTAACTGGAGGGAGAGTTGTACATGCCAAGTGTTTGCTAATGAGAAAGGCACAGGGCAAAGGCAGGGACAGGTAGTTCTTTCTGTGCCTGATCTCCAGCCTGAGAGAAGATCCACCTTCTGTCTGGTATACCCACTATAGCTCTTATTGCATCTCCATGCTTTTGTGAGTAAGAGGGAGGGAAGGAAGGAAGGAAGGAAGGAAGGAAGGAAGGAAGGAAGGAAGGAAGGAAGGAAGGAAGGAAGGAAGGAAGGAGGGAGGGAGGGAGAGAAGGAAGAAAGAGGAAGGCTTTACTAGAGTCTTTTATGTGCTAGGCTACAGTGCTCAGGAGGGCAGCATGGCTGGATTTTCCAGGGTTCTCTCTGTATTGAAAATTACCGTAAGAGGCCAATAATGATGATAGCCCAATAACTCGGCTGCCTTACACTGGAATCACACTCCCTATTTTCTTGTCCATTAAAGTAATTTCATCCTCCCAGAATCCTTGGGAGGCAAGCAGGTTACAGAGGAGAGAGCAGCATGGGGCACTCAGTCAATCACCTTGGTTTCAGGGGACCAAGGTTGTGGTCACAGAGTCTCAAAGTTGGAGGGGACTTCAGCAGTCATCTAGGTCACGCCACGGCAAAAGACAATTCCATGCCCTTGAGGGCCTTATAACGGAATGGGGGAGACAACATGCAAAATCTATACAAACAAGCTATATATAAGAAATAATGAACCATGGGAAGGCAGCGGAATTAAGAGGGATTGAAAACCCCCAGATTTTTTTCAGACAAATTGATGTTTAACCATGCCTGCTTCATCTTGTCCTTGGGAAGATCAGGTCTTGAACCCTTGTGTACATTAATCCCAACTACACATTCTTTAAGATTCTAAGTCATCAAGATCTTTCTGGATCTTGACTCTGATGTCCAGTGAGTTAACTCTCCCTACTGACTTTGAAGCTCTCACTCTCTGGGCAATTGGACAAGTCACTTCCTTCTCCTGAGTTCAGGTTTCCTATCTATAAAACAAGGAGGCTGGACTAGCTCTATCATGGTCTGTGTCCATGGGGAATCAGAGGGAAGCAACTTGCCCAAGGTTGTTGAGTAAGAGAGTGGCAGACTTTGAAATAGAGCCCAAGTGTGCCAAAGATAACACGTTTGTTGAATGCCAGTTAGGGGCCCTGCCCCAGGTGCTCAGATGTTAACCACCATTCATGGAATTCCGATCCTGTTGAATGGCATGTGTTGGGGTGGGGGGAGCCCCAGTGCACTGGGCTCTAGCTCCAGAATTTGCAACTTCGCTAATCTAACATGGCGTCTCCCTGGGGCTCCCTGCATGTTATTTCTGATTATTTATGGACTGTCAGGAAACAAGCAGGGAGCACATCTCCCAGTGCACTGGGGGAGTTGCTGCCTGGGTGTGCTGCAGATTGATGACCGAGTTGAGCAGCTGCGTCCGAGGAGGGGCCATTTGTCTAGTCTCCTGACCCCCGTGCTTGCTTCGCTCTAGAGAAGACCCAGACCCATCATTCCACTCCTCCTGGGGCTTGTACTACCCGAGTGAAACAGACTTTCCTCACTGCAGATGGGCTCTCTTCCATTAAATCTTAACAGGCACCAACCCCAGAGCGAAGCACCAAATGTGCCGATTAAGTCATTATCCCAAATCTCTCTGGCTTTCCTACCACTGCCTGGTTCTTAGCTTCATTTTTATTTCATGAATTGCTCTTCAAAAAGAGTCCCTGTCAAACATTGCTGGAATTCTTTATGCTTTCCAGCCTTTTTATGGAAAGGTTGAAGTCATCGATCTTGGTGTTCCTCCCAGAGGTAGAGTAACTTAAGGAGCTCCACTAAGCCAGGGAGCAGCTAGAAAATCTCCCTTTTTGTATCTTCCTTGGCCAATAGCTCTGAGTGGAAGAGCCTGGGTCTAGAATCCTGGTGCTCCTGAAGTCCCTTGATGCCACTGGGAGGCAGATCTAGCTCTCTCCTGGTCCTCATGCAGTCCTGACCAGATGCTACATATTCATGAGAACTTGTGACAAGAGGGTTTGTTATCTAGATGCTTAGCCAGTTCCAACTCAGTGGCTGCAGCTGTCTGTGAGCCTTTTGTCAGGAGATAGATTCTTTCTTTTAAAGAAAACAATGGTGAGATTTCAGAGTAAATTGGGATGCTTCAGGGTAGGAGTTCATAGTCTTTGTATCATGGACCCTTTGGTAGCCTCCTGAAGCCTATCGACACATTCTTAGAATTTTTCAATGCACAAGATAAAATACAAAGGATTACTAAAGAGACCAATTAGATGGAAATACAGTTCCTAAAAAAAAAAAATTTAAGTTGATGGACTCTAGGTTAAGAATCCATGCAGAGACATGGGAGTGTTGATCCTAGCTCAGATCTAGCTTGTACAGAGAGGTAGAAGGACCAGAGCTCTCCTCTCTCTGCCCCATGGTGCTGGGTTTTCTGATGTCTTCCCCACCTACAGCCCTAGATGGGCACAGTGCCTGCTGAGCCTTGTTTCCCGTTCTTTTGTCTCATGTTTGAGGGAGGTGGGACAGTCATGGATTCATGCCCTTCCTCCTAGAGATCAACTCTAATCAAACAGTACCATTGGCCCACAGGATAGAAAAACAGCTAGGTGGCGTAGTGGATGGACTTTGGGGCCTGGAGTCAGGAAGACCAGAGTTCAAAACTGGACTCAGACACTTACTAGCTGTGTGACGCTGAGCAAGTCACTTACCCCTGTTTGCCTCAGTTTCCTGATCTGGAAAGTGAACTGGAGAAGGAAATGACAAACCACTCCAGTGTCTCTGCCAAGAAAATCCTGATTGGGGTCACAGAGCATTGGATATGAGTGAAATGACTTGATAACAGCAACAACAAAAGCTGCTTCCTTCTGTCATCTGCTTCCCAGCAGCCTGAGTCTGATCTTGGGCGAGTTCCTTATGTTCCCAGGCTCATACAGCTACAGCTGGAATGGGTTTCAGAGCTCAGCTAGTCCAAGCTCCTCATTTTACAGAAAGGGAAACTGAGGTCTAGAGAGGAGAAGGGGCTTGTCACCGAGGTACTAAGTGGTGAAGATGGGGTTTTAACCCAGTTCGTCAGCCTCCAAAATCATTGCTTATCCTACATTACAACACTGACTTTATTCATGGGATTCTAGAAGCAAAGGATTTTGAACTGAGAAGAGTCTCTTGAAGTCACCAATCCAAATCCCCTCACTTTACAGAGGAGGAAACTGAGGCTCAGAGAAATCAAGTGATTTGCCCAATGTCCCAAAGCTAGTATGTTGCCAATTCTGGATTCACACCCAGGTCTTCTGACTGCCAAGCCAGTGGCCTTTTCCAGCACATTGAACTATATTCATTGGTCTTTTTGTATTCCTTTTGTTTAGTTTTTGTTCAGTTGTTTTTCAGACATGCCTAACTCTTCATGATCCCATTCAGGGTTTTCTTGGCAAAGATACTGGAGGGGTTTGCCATTTGCTTCTCCAGCTCATTTTATGGATAAGGAAACTGAGGCAAACAGAGTTAAGTGACTTGCCCAGGGACACCCAGCTAGTAAGCATTTGAGGTCAGATTTGAACTCATGAAGATGATTCTTCTTGACTCTAGGCCCAGTGTTCTACCCACTGCCCCACCTCAGGCTTGAAAAAATCATAGGGGCTTAATAAATGCTTTAAAAACTCCCTTCACTGCATGTTGGCACCTTGGGACAAAGTTCCAACTGTTCCACCCTGACGATGGTTGTGACGCCAAGCATCTCAGAATAAATTAATGAATTTTTCCTAAGAGAATACTGATGGAACTCGCTAGGGGGTGGAGAAGCTTAGAAAAAGGCAGGTGCTGAAGGCTTTGTTGGGTTATCTAATCCCTTCTTAACCCTGTTTCTATTTCCGACCTGTACCATACCCTAAGCTCATTCCCCTCAAGGAAAAAGAAGGGTCACTTCTCTTTTGTCCTAAACCCTTGTCTTCCCTTGTTCCACAGGAGCCCTCCTTTCCTGCGAGAGCTTGAGGATTCAGATGGGGAATGGGGTGGAGGCTCTGAGGCGGTCAAAGGGTCTCAGGGCAGTGGAGTTGAAGGAATGAGAAAGGGATAATGTTTCCTTCTTTAGTATTCAAGAACAGCTCAGAGAGAAAGGACAGGGGCAAGTAGAGGCTTGGAACAGACAGGAGATCTTTCCCTCCCCTAACCCAGCCAACCTGTTATTCTCTATTCTTTGCCTGTTCCTCATCCTTGACAATCCATTGGCCCTGTCTGCTAGGGAGCAAGGCACGGATGTCTTTTCAGAGCTACAAGGATGTGTTAATGTCTGGCTGGGCTATTGATTCCTTTACTTGTCAAGAGAGAGAAAATGAACTCTAGCTGTAGGAAGCAATGTACTAGAGTAATCACAGCTGGCATCCAGCTCCCAGCTACACACCCCGCCAGGGCTTCTGGTTCACAGGACAAACCTGGAGTCCAGTCTGGGGAAGGAGTGAGGCACTGAAACTCCTAGACTTGTCTCCCAAGGGTCTTGACCCAGAAAATCATGTGTCTTTCCCATGAGGGAGATGAACAGCATACAAGTGAGTACTTTACAATGAGTTAACTCATTTAGGTTATAGAGTCTTAAGATGCAAGATCTGGAAGAAGTCCTGATCTCCCATCAGAGATAAGAAAGACCTCAGTCACACTTTAGCTGAGTGACCCTGAGCAAGTCACTTAACCCCTATTTGCCTCATTTTCCTCAGCTGTGAAATTGGAATATTAAGCACCTACCTCACAGGGCTGTTGTTAGGATGAATTGAGGTAAAATATGTAAAGCATTTTGCAAAGTTTAATGTGCCATATAAATGCTAACTGTTATCATTAGCTGTTGCAGATTTCAGAGCTGGGAAGAATTTTAGAAGAGAGAGTGTCAGAGTTGGGAATGATCTTAAAACACAGAATGAAATTGGGGTGGGGAGTGGGGATGGGACCTGGATATCATCCGTCCAGCTTCTCCTTTTGTAGCTGTGGAGACTGCAGATTTCAAATAGCAAATCCTTGCTCTGCCATTTGCTGCTTGTCTGCGTGACCTTGGATAAGTTACTTGGCCTCTGTGGTCCTCAGTTCCATCATCTGTGGAATGAGGGTATTGAACTAGGTGGCTTCTCATTTTGATATTCAGTGATCTTCTTCTCTACCTTCCTGGTACATCAGGTAAACTGAGGCATGGAGAGTTCTCACAACTTCACTGAAAGTTCCTTACGGCAAAAGGGGGCAAAATTGGAGAACTTCTCTTCTCTACCTACTCATTGTTTTCAGAAGTTAGGAAGATTGTTTTTCTCCATCTTGCCCAGAATTAACCCACTCTCTCCATGAGTTGTTAAAAGGTCCTTGGATCTGGCCCAAACTGAGCCAGCTTCTTTCTTTCCTCCTAAGCATGTACTACCTGGCTAATTATTATTAATCCTTCTCTTCCCCCTGGCTCTGATGAATTGCTTCTCTCTAAAGCCAGTCTGGCCTATAGATGTAGGTAATTAATCTATGGTCCTGTTGACCTCAGCCAGCCCTGGTTCTGCCCCATGGCTCAAACTCATGAGCCTTTCAGTGAAATGGGCTTCAAGAGTCAGCCTCACCAAGGGTAGGGGAAATGGCAGGGGCTGGCTGTGATGCCGCACCCCAGCTGCCAGAGTGTTTGGTTGGGTCAATCCTGACACAGTGATAGCAACAGAATGAGAAGGATGAGGGACCCTGCAGGGCAGAAGGCTGGGCAGGCACTGGTGAGGAGCAGGGACTAGCAAGCCTGAAGTGGCCTCATGGTTGTGCGGCTGTTTCATTCCAGATGACGGATGTGACCAAGGAGTACTGCCTGAATATCATTGACCAGTTTGAGCCATGCTTGGAAAACAAGAGTAAGGAGGTGCTCGGCATTGATGGTGAGTGAGTGAGCTGCTGGGGCTGGAGAGCAGGAAGCTATCAATTGTCTATAACCTTTTTGAGTTTGGGACCTAGCCCTGGGACCAGGGGCCTCATCTGGGTGTCAGACAAGAAACAACCAGGTCTAGGTGCCTGCTTAGGGCAATTCAGGAAACTGAGGCCCAGGCCCAAGTTGAATTCCATCTCTGAGGATCCTTCTGGCTTATGATCCTAGGATCTCATGACTCTGAACATTTCTGTGCCTCAGTTTCCTCCTCTGCAAAAAAGGGGGTTGGACTAGATGGCTTTTGAGGTCCCTTCCAGCTCTGGATTTTCCATCCTAGATGCCATGAATCCTACCTAAGTCCTTCTGAAAGCTGAGTGACTCAACGCACTCTTTTTTATAGGTTAAAGTAGAACTGTCGCCCTGCCCCCATCCCCTTATGGATATTTGGACATTGTTTTGTCCCATGTGCTTGGATGTGATCTTCCTCTCTCTGGGACTGGGGGAGTAAGATGGAGAATTATTGTGGCGGTAGAAGTTCACCCCTTTCTTGACCATTACACCTAAACACAGAAGTCTCTACTTGGGAATCAGTCATCTCTCTTCCCGATTTCCCAAATGAATACCACGCTTTCCATTGTCTCTCACTTTGAGGTGGGCAGAGGATCTCTACTGGGGTCCCCAGTCCCCCCTTTTTTAAACACTGGGATATTGAACACATCCATATAACAAATGTACATGTATGTGTATATACATGCATATCTATACACATATCCCCAAAAGGAATGTTTCTGACTCATTTTGGTCCATAGTTGGAAGACTCCTTATCGATCAATAAGCAAGCCTTTATTAAATGCCTACTGTGTGCCTGACATTGTTAGGTACTAGAGATAAAAAGTCCAACCCCTTCATTTTATGGATGAGGAAACTGAGATTCAGAAGAGGAGAGTGAACTGCCCAATGTCACATAGGTTGTGAGTAGTGAAGCTAAAATATAAATTTTGGACCTTAAAGTTGGTATTCTTTTCATTAAATGGTGCTGTCTCTTTGGACATGCTTCTCGTGCCTAAAGAATCTCCTCTTACTTTGCTCTTTGGAAAAAGTACTCTATCACTACCCTACTCTACTCTCTAATCATCCTTTAGTCCTCTGTTAAAATGTTGCCTGAAAGCAGTAACATATTCAGCTGTTAGCCCCTTACATCTTAGTAAGAATTACAGATTAAGTAGAGGACAGTTCCCTGAGGGAATGGGACAAAGGTTGGTTTTAAGAGCTGTAGGTGAGGCCAGAATGAGGTGGTATGGCTGGAGGGTGGCGAAAATCAGAAAGTATTGGGACAGGATAGAAAGGATCAGCAATAGAGGTGCTCTAAGAGGCCAAAAGTGAGCTTTCCTTCTTTCACAGCTTTGCAGGAGAGAATTAAGGGAGGCTTCTCTGGTGTATCATTTGCTCATTTAGACCCAACCTATTATCTCGAGTCTAAAACACCAGCAGGTGTTCTGGAATTTCCCTGAATATGGAGCTGAGAGAGAGAGAGAGAGAGAGAGAGAGAGAGAGAGAGAGAGAGTGTGTGTGTGTGTGTGTGTGTGTGTGTGTGTGTGTGTGTGTGTGAAGTGGGTTAGTGGATAAAGAGTCCTCTCTGAGTAGACTCTTTGGATGGAGAGGGATGAGCAGTAGGCCAGGCTCCCTGGGAGTGTCTTCCTGAAACATTGCCCAGAGAACAAGAAGATAATTAACTTGTCAGGATCTATTATGGCTGATTTTCTCCAAACGTACCTTATGCCCGATCAATTTTCCAATTTTCCTGCTTTTCCTCAAGTCCTGGGCTGGAGGCAAGCCATGGAGAGAGCTTGTAGGAGACGATGGTGCTAGTTTGTGAGTTATGGCTCCTGCAGTTCACTTAGGCTGACCTTGATCATCATGCTATTCTAGCATCTAAGAATGTGGAGCTGGAAGGGACCAGCTAGTACAGCTCTCTTGTTTTACTGATGGGGAAACTGAGGCCGAGAAAGGAGAAGGGATTTGCCCAAAGTCCCACAGCTAATGAGAGAGCTGGCTTTGGAACAAGGTCTTCTAACTCAGTTGGTCATTTTTTCCCAACCTCCTCTTAGGTTTTTCATTGAGCTCCTCCCTTAAAATGGGCAGCTTGGCCAGGGGACCAAGTGGGTGATGTAGAGGTTAGAAGGCTATTGAAACAATCTCAGAGCCAAAAGGATCCTCATAGGGCATCTGGTCCAACCCATGAGGAAGCAAGAATGCCTTCTATAGCCAACAAGTGACCCAAATGATATCACGCCGAGGAAGTCCTTGTGTCTGGAGGTAGCCCATGCCACTTTGGGACAGGTCTCTCTGCTACCTAGGAAGTTTTCTTAATATCAAGTCTAAATTTACATCCTTAACAACTTCTACCCATTACTCTTGGTCGATACAATTATAGGTTCCTAGATTTATAGTTGGAAGGAATGATGGAGGTCATTGAGTTCAGCCCCCTCATTTTACAGCTAAGGAAACTGAGGCTGAGTGAAGTGACTTTCCCAGAGTCACGCAGCTATTAAGTGTCTAAATCAGGATTTGAACTCGGTTCTTCCTAATTCCAAGTCCAGGGCTCTCTATCAACTATACCATGCTGTGGCCTATTGGGCTAACAGAATAACCTAATTACTCCTCCATATTATAGGACCATAGGGCTGGAAGAGAACTTAGAAGTCACTGAGTCCATCTCTCAGATTTTACAGATAAGGAAACTGAGGCACATAGGGGCGAAATGACTTGTCCAGGGTCATATAGCCTGTGAGTGGTACAGTCAGGATGTGAATCCATGTCTTCTTAACTCCAAATCCAGTACCCTATCACCTATACCATGCTACCTTTCAATACCTGAATGTAGGTACCATGGCCTCTCCAAAGTCTTCTCCAGGCTAAATATCCTCAGTTCCTTTGAGTAATCTACAAATAGCCAGACAAGTGAAGATCAAGAATTACTTTAACCTGGAGCAGGTTCTGAAGCGGGTGCTGCTAGGGGAGGTTTGCCTCAGGCTACCTAGCTTATGCCTGGTACACATATGTCCCTCCTGAGTGTGAGTACCTGCATGACTACATACCTAAGCAAAGGCAAGATGGTACCATTGTTAGGGCCATGGCCAAGACTTAAAAGAGATTTGAAGAATAATCAGTTGAGGTAGTCAATTCTCAAAGCAGTTGGCCCTTTATTTGGTGTGTTAATGGAAGGCCACAGGGATTTGCTGCTGAAAGATGGAAGGACTAGGTAAGGCTATTTAGTCTATGAAATGTTCAGCCAACGTATTGGAGGTGCTCTCTTTCCAGCGAGATTCATGGAATTGGAGTCATCCAATCCATGCCCCTGGACCTGATAAGATATCTGTTTGGATATCTGTCTCCTGGGCTCTCACTGAGGGCTAACCTGAGCAAGAGAGAGAGAGCCCCTTTATCCAAGGGAGCTGGGGTCAACTGTCTCTTCCCCTGGGAACCATGTTCTGATACAATTGAAACATACCCACCTTGAAGTAAATATTCTATCCACCTTTTCAAAACATTCAAATCCAAAGGCTTGGTTCTGCTTTCTCTTGCTAGAATCCTGCATATTTTACCATATTTTACATTAGATTGTGTCTGAATTTCCTGCCAGTAGGCTGAGATTGTCATGGCAATTCCTGGATAGCTTTTTTTCTAGAAGCCTTGGTTATTGGGAGTTACTTGGGACTATATGCAGAAGGTCTCATGGTATACAATGTCCTTTGTGAGGGGCTATAAGAGTAAGGGATTCAAGACCTTTATAAAATAGGATTTCCTTTCTCAGTTAGCTTACGTATAGTCCCCTAGAGAGCCCCAAAGTGCAGGGGGGAGACCCTAGGTTAGAGTATATGGATCTGGTTTTCAATGAAGTGTCATGATAACCTTGTCAACAAGATGGAGAGTCATGATGAATGATGGCTGTCAATCTAAGGGAACTCTCTGGTGGGCTTTCTCCTTGGCTCTCTCCTATTCAGGATTCATATCAAGGATATGAATAACAATACAGATGGAATGCTTATTAAGTTTAAAGATAGGATGATTTTAGATGTTGGCTTTGGAGTCAATAAAAATCATAACAGACTAGAATGATGAGCTGAAGCTTTTTTCTTTAAAGTTGAGAGCTATGGGGTCAGCTGGGTGGTGCAGTGGATAGAGCACCGGCACTGAAATCAGGAGTACCAGAGTTCAGATCTGGCCTCACACCGAACACTTGACACTTACTAGCTGTGTGACCCTGGGCAAGTCACTTAACCCCAACTGCCTAAAAAAAATAATAATAAAATAAAGTTGAGAGCTATGATTTCACTCACTTAGGAAACTTCCAGTATGGAAAAGCCCTCCACCCATCCCAATTGTCAATTCTCTGTAGTTTATGACCTTAGGGAGTTCTTGGGAAGTTAAGTGATTTGCCTCCAGTCACATGGCTATGAGTCAGAGGCCATATCTGAACTCAGGTCTTTTTGACTTCCACTGATCTATTAACTACTATACCCATTCTGCCTCTAACAAAATGCAATTTAGTAGGGAGAAAAGCAAACCCCTGAGCTTGGGTACAAGAAGTCATCTGCCCTAACAGGGGATGGGGAAGGGGTATCGATACAACAGGTTACATTAAAAATACTAAGGAGTTTTCATGGACCACAAGCTTGAAAGGTATGGTGTCCAGAACGATGGAAACGATCATCCTTTGGATGTAGACCTGGCCAGACATTGGAAGCACTGTGTTCAGATGTAAGAAAGAAATGAATAAGTGAAAACATGTCCAGGAGAGATGACCAGGATGCTTAAAAGGGCTCCAAATTATAATATATGAAGAATAGTGGAAAGACCTGGAGAAGAGGAGACTTAAGGGATTGGGGAGGAATCATGGTCTCAAATGCTTTTATATGAAAAGGGGGAATTGAATGTGTCCTCAGTGCTTATAGGGAGTAAAACCAGGACCAATGGGTAGAAATTCTAGGGAAGTTGATTAGGGTGTAATATAAAGGATTTCCTTTGACTCCACTAAAGCCTTTGACTGTGTGGATCACAACAAAATATGGCAAGTCCTCAAAGAGTTGGGAATACCAGACCATCCTACTTGTCTCCTGAGGAACCTGTATGAGGGCCAAGAAGCAACAGTTACAACTGAACATGGAACAACTGACTGGTTTAAGATTAGAAAGGGAGTATAAGACTGTGTATGATCACCTTAACTTATATGCAGAGTATATCATGGGAATTGCCAGGCTGGATGAATCAAAAGTCAGAAATGAAGGTTGCTGGGAGAAATAGCAACAATCTCAAGTATGCGGATGATACCACTCTAATGGCAGAAAATGAAGAGGAATTAAGAAGCCTCTTGATGAAGTTGAAAGAGGAGAGTGTAAAAGCTGGACTGAAGTTTAACATGAAAAAAAAAACAACCTAAGATCTTAGCAACTGGTCCCATCACTTTCTGGCAAATAGATGGAGAAGAAATGGAAGCGATGTCAGATTTTATGTTCTTGGGCTTAAAGATCACTGCAGATGGCGACTGCAGCCATGAAATTAAAAAGACTCTTGCTCCCTGGAAGGAAGGAAGGAAAGCTACAGCAAACCTGGACAGCATACTAAAAAGGAGAGATACCACCTTGCTGACAAAGGTCCAAATAGTCAAGGCTATGGGTTTTTTCCATAGCAATGTATGGCTGTGAGAGATGGATTGTAAGGAAAGCTGAGACTTTTGAGAGTCTCTTGGACAGCAAAGAGATCAAATCAGTCAATATTTAAAGAAATTAATTCACACTATTTATTGGAAAGTCAAATACTACAGCTAAAGCTTAAATACTTAAATAATAAGAAGATGGGAATCATTGGAAAAGACCGTGATGTTGGGAAAGATTGAAGACAAAAGGAAAAGGGGACAGTAGAGGATGAGATGGATAGATAGTGTCATGGAAGTAATGAAAATGAGTGGACAGACCTTGGAAGATAGTGAAGGACAAAAAGACCCAGTGTGCTGTGGTCCATGGGATCATGAAGAGTTGGACACAACTGAACAACAATAAAAGACTCACTAATAGAGCTGTCCAATGCTAGAATGAGTGCCTCAAGACATGTGTCATGGAGCAAACAGTTGGGTGGCATAGTGAATAGAGCACTGCTCTTGGAATCAGGCAGACCTGAATTTGAATCCTATTTCAGGTGATTAACTAGCTGTGTGACCCTAGGTGAATGAGTCACTTCTCTCTGGGTCTCAGTTTCCTTATATATAAAATGGGAGTGATAATAATAGTTCCTACTTCACAGGGTTGTTGTGAGGGCCAAACTAGATAACACCTATCTCTAAAGCTCTTTGCAAACCTTAAAGCATTATATGAAATGCTAGCTATTAATACTTTTTTAAAAAAATTATTATTAGCCTGAGCTTTGCCAGTCACATGTGGTGTGACCTTGGGCAACTCACGTCCGTTTTTAGGGCCTCAGCTTTCTCTTTTGTAAAAGCAAAGAAGTTGAAACAGATCTAAAATCCTTTCTAGCTATAGACCTATGATTCTGTTATCCTTAAAGCCCCTTTTACTGTCAATGTTTTGAGATTACACATGGTGGCATAATGGCTAGCATGTGGAAGAACTGAGTTCAAATCCTGCCTCTATATAGGTCTAAGTCTATAGATCTAAATAGGGCGTTATTAAAAAAAAAAAAAAAAAAAAGAAAAGAGAAAGCAGCTTGCTCACCACCACCCTACCTACCCCACTGATGGAGACACTAGCTTTCTGTGTGATTCTTGGTAGGTCTCTTGGATACTGAGATGGGAGGGACCTTCAAAGTCATATACTCTTCCTTCCTTATTTTACAGCTGAGAAATTGAGACCCAGAAATCTTAAGTGCTTTGGCCAAGATCACACAGATGGCAAGTGGTAAAGATGGTATTTGAAACCAGGTCAAGATTCAAAATCCAGAGTTCTTTCCACTCATTCATCTAAAGATAAGGATGATAATGACATCTACAGTTCAGGGTTTTTATGAGAATCAAATGAGATAGTATGTGTCACATGCTATATAAATACCAGTTATTGTTATTGTCAGTTCTTTCATTCTTCCCCTCCCCTCCACCCCTTTCCAAATGTTCTAGGTAATGTTCTTGCTGTGTTACTGGAAGATCTGAGTTCTTGTCCATCTCATCCCTCCCAGGTTTTACTAACTACACCAGGAGTCCAGAAGGAGACATTTTCAACCCCAAGCACTACCAAGTGAACCAGGACATGACCTACCCACTAAGTTACTACTTCATCACCTCTTCCCATAATACCTACCTCATTGGGGACCAGCTCATGTCCCAGTCTCGAGTGGACATGTACTCGTGGGTACTACAGGCCGGCTGCCGCTGTGTGGAAGGTGAGAGGTAGAGGTGAGAGGTACCTATAGCCATAGGTACCAGCCTTGTTCCTGACCTGCGGGATTACCTGACAGAGACCTCCTGGTCCTTCCAGAGAACTAAGATAGAGTTCTGCAAACTGGAATCCAATTCCTAGCCTTTCCACTAATAACTGTGTAACTTTGGCTAAGTCGATTTATCTTGGCTTATTGTAATGGAAATGATAATTAATTTTAGCCCTGGCCCTTTCACAGGGGTATTGAGGGTCAGCTGAGAAAATGGATATGAAAGCTCTTTTCTAAGTGTAAATCTCTATTCAGACATAATTGAGGGTATTTATTCTGGGAGAAGGTATGGGAGATATTTCCCATTTCTACTTCCAGCCTTCCTTCCTTCCCTCTGTGGGCAGCATTTGACCTTAGGGCCTTAGACATCTTACTGAAGGGCTAAGCAGAGGGCTTAGTAAGTATAGACTCTGTCTGCCCTGGCCTGAAGTCTCCTATGGGAAATGGGGTCACTGAAAGTCCAGAAGAACAGTTCTATGTTTTAGGCACAGGCATCCCTAGATGCGACCCTGCCACCAGGCACCTGAGCCGTTCTCTGACTGAGGACTACTCCCATGCCAATTGCTTCCTGTCCAACCCAACAGACGTGTGTTAAGGGCCTACTATATACTGGGCACTGGCCATACGAAGACAAAAAAAAACAGTCCTTCCCCTCTAGGAGCTTACATTCTAATGGAGGAAACAACAAGAATACAGACTACAAAGATATATTCAGTCAATTCAATGGAATGTGACATTTCCTCAGTTTCCTTTCTTGGAATCCTGGGTTTCCTTCAAGATGCAGCCCAAGCGCTGCCCTAGACATGAAGTTCTTCCTGGTTTCTCCAACTACGAGCACTCTCCAAATGACCTTCCATTCCCTTTATATACACTCCCCATTTTCTTCTCTGTATACATACTGCCTCCTCTACTAGAATGTAAGCATCCAGAGGGCAAGAGTTGTTTTCTCTTACATCTCTAACACTTAGCACAGCCCCTAGCACATAGAGGGCACCTAAGAAATGGTGGCCAAGTTCATCTTCCCCATTTTCTTTCATTCATTCAAAGATCATTTATTAAAGAACCTACAGTGTGCTGAAAGCCTTGAAATGTTGGACTTGGATCCAGCCTTTCTATTATGAGAGTGGAAGGAGAGTGATGGAGAGAGACAGAGAGAGACAGAGAGACGGGGGGGAGGAAGGAAAGAGAGAGGAGAGAGAGAGAGAGAGAGAGAGAGAGAGAGAGAGAGAGAGAGACAGAGAGAGACAGAGAGAGAGAGAGAGACAGAGAGAGAGAGAGAGAGAGAGAGAGAGAGAGAGAGAGAGAATGAATTCCCTCCCCAGCCCCAGCCCTGAAGGTTTAAAGACTTAACTAATTGAAATTTTTAATTCTTTTTTTTTAAAGGAAGGTATTTGGAGACAAAATTGTGACTAGTCAGTTCATGCCCCACAAACATCTAATAAATAACTACCATGTACAGGATTCTGTCTTCAATGTTTATATATATATATATATATATATATATATATATATATATATATATATATATATATATATATTTAAACTCACATAGTTGCCTTCAAAGAGCTTATAATAATTTTTGGTTTGGAGGGAGGGATAGGATGCACGCCTGAATGACTATGCTACAAATTAGAATATGAGATGGGTGAAGGAGATATCCAGGCACAGTGCTTGGAGAAATGTGAGGAGGGAGAGATCCCTTTATCTGGGTGGGATGAAGGAGTCAGGGAGCCTTCATGGGCCAATGGCACCTGAGTTGGGCTTTTAAGTGAGGGAGGGATTTCAATAAATGAAGGGGGGTAAAGGGGTGATGTGAACCAAGGGCTAGTGATGAGAGAGGGTGGAATGAAGACAGAGAGATGGTAATCTGATTGGGCTACCAGAGTGTGAAGGATAGTGGAGAAAGAGGAGTCCAGTGAGGAAGGTTCTGAAGGACCTTGTTGCACTCATCAGCTGATTTTGACCTTTGCCTCTCTCCAGTGGACTGTTGGGATGGACCAGATGGGGAACCTATTGTACACCATGGTTATACCTTGACCTCCAAGATCCTCTTTAAAGATGTCATTGAGACTATCAACAAATACGCCTTCATCAAGAATGAGTGAGTGGCAGCCCCTGGAGTCCTTGGGGCCCCCTGATTCCATTGAGTTCATCTCTCTACATCTAGGCAAGACGAGGCTGGGTTCTAATCTCAGCTCGGATCCTAACTCTTTGTGTGAATTTGGGCAAGTTCTTCTCTGGGCTTCAGTTTCTTCATCTGCAAAAATCAGGGGGGTTGGAACAAATTTCCTCCCAGTTCTAGAGCCATAAATTTATTTTGGCAAACCCCAAAAGTGAATGCAATTATGGTAGTATTAAGTGGCACAATATCTAGGAATAAGGAGGTAATGGGCCTTCTCTCCTCTGCCTGGGTCAGACCCTATCTGGAATATTGGCTTTAGCTCTGGGTGCCACATTTCAGGAAGGACATTTAGTGAGCTGGAGAATGTACAGAAGAAAGAAACTAGGATGGTGAAAACCTTGAGCCTAAGTCATATTAAGACTGGAGATGGATAACCTGAAGATGAGAAGGTTTGGGGGTGGGGCAGGGAGAACATGATAGCTGTCTTTAAATATTTGAATGGTTATGATATGGAGAAGGAATTAGCCTTTTTCTGCTTGGCCTAGAGGGCAGAGCCAGGATCAACAGGATGGAGATAAGAGAGGCAGATTTAGGCATGATGTAAAAATAAGCAAAACAAAATGAAAACCTTCCTCAACAATTAGCACTGTCACAAAGTAGGTTGTCTCGAAGAGTGGTGGGTTCCCCCTCCTAGGAGATCTCTGAGCAGGGATTCACCGATGGGCAGGTAGTTGTAGCTGGGATATTTGGCTAAGGATGGCTTGATCGAGATGGCCACTAAGATCCTTCTACCTCTCAAATTCTGCCATTCCGATGTGCAAACAGGTATCAGTAGCTGCATGAGACTGGGCCAGTTGGGTTGAGGCTAGATAGATACCAGGACAGGAATGATATTCTGGTCAGACTGCATTATAACTTTTCGTTTTCCTTTAGGACATCCAGAAGCCCTTCCTGTTGGTCCTTGGGGCTGGGGACACTCCACGTCCTCCAAAACAAGTACACATACACACACTGGTCATATTGTCCATGCCCCAACACACACACACACACACACACACACCACACACACACACACACACATACACACACATAAACAGGTCAACCAGGTCCCAGTAAGCTTTTTCATTATCTCTGATTCCATTCTTTGGCCCTGTGCCCTACTTTCTCCTCTTGGCAGAAAGCCAGGGCCCTCTCACCTGAAATCACCTTTGCAGGCAACTCATGGGCCCCTTCTTACCTTACTTCTCCACTGAAGCCCTGATCTCCTTTGGAGCTCCTCTGCAATGCTCTTGAATAGAGATCCTCTCTAGAACAGAGGAAGGGCCTGGTCAGAGCTATACTTTGAGGAAGGTTAATATGGTAGCTGTGTGGAGGATGGTATTGGGGTATCTCACCCAGATGGCTAAGAAGGTCCTTTCCAATTCTTACACTCTGTGATTCTGAAGTGGAATCAAGACTTAATGACTTATTGATGAGGGAGAAGAGAAATATATGCCTGGATGTGGGAGTTTACGTGTGGGACTGTGTGTGTGCACATCCGTGCCCACCTGTTTGGGTGTGTGTTCTGCCTGTGTCTGCAGTTCAGTGGGCAAACAGCTTCCCACATACATGTAATGATCCCATTTATTATAGTTCCCATATTAATTACCCTGGAGGAGACACACAGCCTTCAGGCCTGCTTTGTTATCACTCAGCATGGTTGCAAGACATCATTAAAAAAAAATTCCAATTTAGTTTCTCAAAATAGACTGTCTATTATGACTTTTGCATTCAAGTCTTGTCGAATGGAAGCTCTCAGTCTGGGAAGGAAGTGTTAATTGTACCAGGAAGGAAAAAAAGGAACAAGATTAATTTGAGAATTAAAAATAGAGTGACACCTTCATAAATTGGTGGGCCTAGCTCTGAGTGAGGCGTGCTGGTAATCAGAGAGATAGGCACCTTCAGCTCAGGCTGTTGGCTTAGCAGGATTCCTGGAGTGGGGAAATGAGGCTCTGAATCTCCGTGACAGACAAGTACATGGAGAGCCCGTGATTGAATTCAATGAGCATTTATTAAGCACTCACTTGGTGCCAGGCAAGCAGTCAACCAAGAGTCATTTATTAAGCACCTACTATATGACAGGTACTGTTCTAAGTGATGAGTTTGCAAAGAAGGTTTCTGCCCTCAAGGGCTCAGATTCTAATGGGAGAGATTACATGTAAATAATAACCTGGCACATGGGAGCTAGCTGGAGAGAAAATGAAATGGATACCGGCAGTGAGGGACAGGTCGGGGAGGGGATGGAGAAGGCCCTTTGAAGAAGGTGAGATTGAAGCTGAGTAGTGAAGGAGGTGAGGGAATTTAGGAGGGGAAGATGATGGGAAGGAAGGCATTCCAAGCATGGTTCTCCTCCTGCCTGTCTGACTGTTCCTTTTCTGTCTCCTTTTCTGGATCTTCCTCAACAACATGCCCATTAATGAGGAGTGTCCCCCCCACCCCGCCCAAGGCTCTGTCTTGGACCCTGTCCTCTTCTCCCTTTATGTTATTTCACTAGGTGATCTCATCTGCTCCCATGGACTACATTATCATCTCTCTGCTAGCGATTCTCAAATCTACTTATACAGAGTACTTAACCTGTAACAGAGTACTTAACTACTTAACCTCTCTCCTGAACTCCAGCCTCAAATCTCCAATTGTCTATTGGACCTAATGAACTGGACCTTAATCTCAATATGTCCAAAACTGTACTCATTCTTCTCCCCCTTCCCCACCCCCCCAACCTCCCCTCTTCGTAACTTCTCTTTTCATGTGCAGGATACCACCATCTCTTCAGTTACCCAGGCTCACAACCTAGGCTTCATCCTCAACTCCTCACAATCTCTCATCTCTGACAGATAATCGGCTGCCAACAACTGTTATTTTGCAACATCTCTCGATGGCAGCTAGATGCCGCCATACATAGAGCGCCGGACCCAGAGTTAGGAAGACTCATCTTCCTGAGTTCAAATCTGGCCTCAGACACTTACTAGCTGGGTGACCCTAAGCAAGTCACTTTAACCTGTTTGCCTCAGTTTCCTCATATGTAAAATGACCTGGAGAAATAAATGGCAAACCACTTCAGTATCCTTGCCAAGAAAACCCTAAATGGGGTCACAAAAAGTCAGAAGTGACTGAAAAAAAAGCCAAAACAAAATGATTGAACAATATCTCTTGATATTGTTTTTCTCCTCTGACATTGCCCCCACACTGATGAAGACCCTCACTACCTCACATGTAGATCATTAAAATAGCTGCTGGGGGCTGCTCAGAGCCTGCCTCAATTCTCTTCCTACTCTAATCCATGCAATCCAGTCACCAAAGTGATTTTCTTCAAGTGGGGGTCTGATCATGTCACCTTCCTTACTCAGTAAACTCCAGGGTCTCCTTATCACCTCCAAGATCAAGTAAAAAATGCTCTGTTTGGCATTCAGAGCCCTTCATCATTGGTCCCCCTCCTACCTTTCCGTTCTTCTTACACCTAGAATGGGGGAGGGGGTGGTCCTGAAGGAGAAGAGGGTGATCCGACAATGTCAAAGGCTGCAAAGAGTATCAGGACTGAGAAAAGGCTAATAGATGTAGCATGTGGTCATTGCCTGGGGGCTAAAGGGATTCCCCACCCCCAATGGGAGCTTAATGTCTTTAGGTGGGCTTGACCCATTAAGTGGGCTCTTAGGTAAAAGGCTAATAGAGTGGGTGAGATGGCAATGGGCTGGAAGGATTCTTATGAAGGTGTTTAAAGTGCAGTGCCCTTCATTGCTGTTGTAATAATGTCTAATAATAATGTGATTACAATAATAACTTCTGCTATGAGACCTTGAATTGTAATAGCAATAATACCCAACATTTCCATAGAGTTTGAAGGTCTATGTGGTCTTCCCACACGTTGTCTCATATGGGCCTGGAAGGCAGGGGCTGCTCAGAGCAGTAATTGAGAAAAAGGGAAGTGTTTGCCCCAGGGGCCCACAGCTAGTGGGAGTCTGAGGTGGGACTTGGCTTACTGTGGCATGCACGTTGCCTCTTACCTTGGAGATACACACATTTATGACACTCCTCATTAATGGATGTGTGTGTGTGTGTGTGTGTGTGTGTGTGTGTGTGTGTGTGTGTACACACAGAGACAGAGAAAGAGACAGAAAGAGAGACAGACAAAGAGAGAGAGGCAGGGAGGGAGGGAAAGGGAGGAAGGGAGAGAGGGGCACACACACACTAGCTAAGTTGTCAGGTCACCTCTCTGGGTCTCAGTTTCCTCATTTGTACAATGAGGGGGGGCTGGATTGGAGAAATACAGGTTGCCTAGGATGACTAAAGGGACCCTTCTCGCTCTGAAGCCATGATGCAGGTATCCCTGCCACTCTTGTCTGCCTGCACATAACAGGGCTTAATAAATGCTTTTTAATCAATTGATCGTAGTTTGGGGCTCTCACGTTCTTTCTGGTTTGTCTGTCTTCCTGCTCACTCTGCTTCTCTCACCCTGTCTTCCCTTCTTTCCTTTCTTATCTCCTCCTCTCCTGCTCCCATCTTCTCTATCCTCCTCTTCTTCCCTTCCTCTCTCTGTTCCTCTCTCCCTCCCTCCTTCTGTGTTCTCCTTTCCCTCCCTCTCTCTCATCCTCTTCCCCCATCTCTCCTCATCCCTCCCTCTCCCCTTCGTTCTGTTCCCTCCTCCCCTTTTCTTCTTTTCCTTCTCTCATCTTTTCCCCTTCCTTCCTTCCTTTCTCTCCCCTTTCCCCCTATTTTCCTCCATCTCTCTTCTCCTCTTCCCTTTCTTTCCTTCCTTCCTTCCTTTCTTTTTCTTCCTTCCTTCTTTCTTTCCTTTCTTCCTCCCTTCTTCTCTCCCTTCCTTCCTTCCTTCCTTTTTCTTTCTCCCTTTTGTTCTCCTTCTCTGTTCTCCTCTCCCTCCCTCTTTGAATTCTTCTTCCCCCTTTCTTCCTCTTTCTCTTCTCTCTTTCCCTCCCTCCCTCCTTCCCTTTCTCCTCTTTCTCCCTTTCCACTCTTTCCCTCTTTCTTTGTGTGCACTTCCCCCCTTCAATCCTCTTCTGCTTTTCTCCTTCCCCCTCCCCCTCTCAAACATGTACATTTTCTGAAAAGTCTGTAATTGCTGCCAGAACATCATCAGCCTAGATCATTCCTAGAGTCCTGTGGCTTCCTTTTGTCTCAGCTTCCTAACAAAGGCACCTTTCTCTTCCCTGTTCCTGAGTGCCAGGGTCTAGCAGCTGCTCCTGGTTCTATGAGTCAGCTCCTCCTCTTATATGCCCCCTTTCCTCCCCCCTCCTCCCAGGTACCCAGTGATCCTGTCCATTGAGAACCACTGCAGTGTCCTTCAGCAGAAGAAGATGGCGCAGTACCTGATTGACATCCTAGGGGACAAACTGGACTTGTCGACAGTAAGCAGTGAGGAAGACTCAACCACTCTGCCATCTCCTGAGAAGTTGAAAGGCAAGATCTTAGTGAAGGTAAAGACCCTGCCTGTCCTGGACGTCCTGGGGTGGTAGCCCACAGTCTGGGGGCCTCTGGAGGGCCAGGGGTTCCTCATAGGCAACAACTTGTCTGAAAACGATCTGATGTTTTTAGTGGACCACAAACTCAATAGTCGTAAGAAAAAAAAATCCAAAGAGATTCATAGATAAAGATTAATAAGATTAATCTGTGAAAATTAATCATCTTAATAGAGGCAAGTACACCTTCCAGCAATAAGAAGCTGACAATTTTTCTGTATTTCATGAATGATTTCAAATTTGCAAACATGAGTGACTGAAAGGACAGTGGTAGTCATGCTAGAAACAAAGGTGTTCAAAATGAGGATGGGCATTTGGAGGAAGCTCAATGAGTTTTTTTAATTTGGTTATCTTGACTTTGAGATGCCAAGAAGGCTAAGTAGAGATGTCCAGCAAATGGGTAGTGATGCAAGGCTGGAGCTCAGGAGAGGGCTAGGGAAGCTAAGTGACATAATGGATAAAGTACTAGGCGCGGCATGAGGAAGATTTGACGTCTGATCTTGTCCCAGCCCCTTATTACCTGGGTGACCCTATGTGAGCATTAAACCTTTTTCAGCCTTAGTTTCCTCATCTGTAAAATGAAAGGACTGAAATAGATGGCTTCTATGGTCTATTCTAAATCTATTTTCCTATATAACCTATATCAAATTGCTTACCATTCAGGGAGGTGGGGAAGGGAGGCAGAAAAGTTTGGAACTAATTTTTTTTTAATGAATGTTAAAAATTATCTTGTAATTGGGAAAAAAATACTATTTTAAAAATAAACAGTGGGTAGAGCAACAACCCTGAAGTCAGGAGGACCTCAGTTCAAATCTGCCCTCAGACCAAACATTTAACACTTACTAGCTCTCTGACCCTGGGCAAGTCACTTAACCCCAATTGCCTAAAATAAAATAAAATAAATAAACCTATGTTCCTATGACTTGTCAGATAGGGCTGAAGAGCTTGGGCGTCAGAGAGGGAGTTTGGTTTCCAGATTCATAAGTGCCCCTCTAGCTTCTCATGTAGGGTGGGGCAAGGGTGTGCTGGTGAATGTTTAATAACTGGCTCTCTGAAAATGCAGGGCACGCTTTAAAGTTTAATGTGCGTTATTCACATTTTTTCCAACACTTTTTAAAGTCCTGGACAATCAATGAAACAGTAAATCAAGTCCTGATTTAGAGTAGTTGCTGATTTCTGGGATGTAAATGCTCACACTGAAAATTTAACACTAGCTCTCAGAAACCTGAACGATTTGGCTCCAGCACACCCCTGGGCTAAGAGAAAGACAAAAGGAGGAAGATTTACGCTGTCAGAAGCAGCGTGATCTTGTAGAAAATACCCTGGCCCAGAACTCCAAATACATGGCTTAGTTCTAGGTTCGGCCTGGCCTCAGAAGCCTGAAGTGCAGAGAATGTAAGTTTCTAGCTTGAGAGAAGGAAGGGGGACCTTGGAAGTCTTCTAGTTCTGATGGATGAGGAAACTGAGGCACAGAGCCATCCCAGAATAATGGGCTGTTAGCCTTAGAGCAAGAAGAGACTCAGAGGCCCTCAAGTCCAGCCTACCTCCCATTTTTATTTTTCAGTCATTTCAGCTGAGTTCAACCCTTGGTAACCCCATTTAGGGTTTTCTTGGCAAAGATCCTAGAGTGGTTTGCCTTTTCCTTCTCTAGCTCATTTTACAGATGAGGAAACTGAGGCAAACAGGGTGAAGTGACTTGTCTGGGGTCACACAGCTAGAATGTGTCTGAGGCTGGATTTGAACTCAGGTCCTCCTGATTCCAGGCCTGGAGCTCTACACTCTATGTCACCACCTAGCTGCCCTACTTCCCATTTTACAGATGAGAAAAGTGGGACCTAGAGAGATGAAATAACTCACATAGAAAATAACAAAGTTAGTCATCAAATCCAGGTCCATTGTCTCTTAATCCAAGTTACCACCTTCCAGATTTCAGTTCCACATGAGGGAAATCATCCTCACAATCAGAGCTGTCTAAAAGTGGGATGGGCCGCCTTAGAGGAATTGACTTCCCCATCACTAGAAGGCCTCAAGGCTTAGATGATCACTTTCTTGGGAATGTTGTCTAGGAGACCCCTGGTCAAGTAAAGGTTGAACCTTGTGATCCTTCCCAGATCTAACATTCTGTGATCATGCTTCTGGCTCTGCCAGTGTGACCTTGGCTAAGTAATTTAACCTGGGCCACTCTGGCCTCAGTTTCCCCAACTGTAAAATGAGAATATTGGATTAGATCATCTCTGAGGTTCCTGCTAGCCCAGAGATTATATGGGATCATAGAAATGAAACAGAAAGGGACCTTCGAAATGACCTAGATTAACCCCCTTAATTACAAATGAACAAACGAAGAACCACTGGTTAAGAAACTTCCCCAAGGTTACATGGGTAAGTAAGTAACATAAATGGGATTTGAATCCAGGTCCAAATCCATTGCCATTCCCATAATACCACACTAATCTGGGTCTGGAGTACAGAATTTTTATCCTTGACACATTCAATAGTGATAATAGTTAATAAATAATAATAATAATAATAATAATAATAATAATAATAATAATAATTAACTATATAGCATTTACAATGTGCCAGGCACCATACTAAAGTAAGCACTTATTCTTAGCACAAGTCTTATTTCGTTTGATCCTCACAACAAACCTTAGAAGGTAGGTGCTATTATTATCCCCATTTTACAGATGAGGAGAGTGAGGCAAATATAGACCAAGTGATGCCCAAGGTCACACAGCTAGTAAGTGTCTGAGACATGATTTCAACTCGGGTCTTCCTGACTCCCGACCCAGTGCTCTATCCACTGCTCCATTTAGTGCTTCATAAGAAAAACAGTTAAGCAGTTACTGTGTACCAGACACTGTACTCTAAGAAATCCAGGCAATCTCTCAGATGCCGCAGCTGCCTTGGAAGCAACAAGTTACCATGGCAACAGTGCTAGAGATGGGGTCAAAGAAGCTGGCTTTGAATTTCAGCTTTGCTCCTCACTCCTTATGGGACCCTGCCAAGTCACTTCACTTCACTTCAATTCACTAAACATTTGTTAAGTGACTGCTATGTGCCAGGCACTGTGCTAAGTGCTAGGGATACAAAGAAGCAAAAGACAGTGCCTGCCCTCGAGGAGTTTACAATCTAATCAAACCTCTCTGTATCTCAGTTTCCACAAAACCAGAAGGCCCCTAGAGTAGCTTTTAGCTCTGAATCTGTGATCTAATCATCCTGGGTGCTGGTGACGGGGGAGTCAGTCCACATACAGCCCTGGAGGACCACATGCTACACTGTCTGATGAGCCTGTCTGTGTTCCTGCAGCCCTGAGGCCCTTCTGGCTGATAACATCAGAGTAGGCTTTTCTCTCCCTAATGAAGTGTCTATTTCCAGGAAAAGTCACTTAGCCACTGATTTAGGCAGGTCTGGCCTTTGAATTGAACCCTCTTCTTTGCCTCTGGCCCTGGCTTCTGAAGGGTTTTGAAGCTATGTCCTGAAGGTGGGAAGTGTGAGCTGACACACTCTCTTATTCTCAGTAAGCAGGGAAAGAATTGAGGACCGTAACAGGATAGCCAGCCATTCAGAGCCTTCCCTTGGGGCTCCCCTGCCAGTCCCATAAAGAAGGAAAGTTGAGCGGAACAGAGTCATCACCCAGCCACAGAATGACCTCCTCTTCTTCCCTCTTGGTGGGAGAAAAAATCTGGCACCAGGAGGGTCTGGTTTCTGCTGCTAATAATCTGTAGCCTTAGGGGAGTCACTAGGGAGACTGTCCAACAGTCCATAGATGAAAAAGACCTTTGGGTCTCAGTGGACTTGCAAGCTCTGTTTAGGAGCATAGATTTAGATGGGGAAGGGACCTTAGAAATGAACTTATACATCACCTTAGTTTACAAGTAAGGAAACTGAAGACCCCAAGAGAGAGGCAAGGACTTGCCTTAGGTCACCCAATAGGAAGTGTCGACTAGCCAATAAGAGGTTGTTAAGTGCTTACTATGTGCCAGGCACTGTGCTAAGTGCTGGAAAGATAGGAAGGCAAAAAATAGGGTCCCTGCCTTCAAGGAGCTCATATTCTAATGGAAACAATGTGTGGCACAGTGGATAGAGTGCTGGGCTTAGAATTTGGAAGACTCTTGGAGTTCAAATCCAGCCTCAGACACTTCCTAGCTGTGTGCTCTGGGCAATTCACTTCACCTTGTTTGCCTCAGTTTCCTCTTCTGTAAAATGAAGTGGAGAAGGAAATACCAAACCCCTCAGTATCTCTGCCAAGAAAACCCCAAATGGGGTCATGAACAGTTGGACGCAACTGAAAACAACTGAATGACAATAATGTGTATATATTCTCTCTCTCTCTCTGTCTCATATGTGTGTGTTTTATACATATGCACACACACACACACACAGAGTAGATAAAAGGTAACTTCAGAGGGAGGCCCTGGCCATGGGGCAAACCAGGAAAGGTCTCCTGATGAAGATGTGATTTGAGCTGAGTCTTGAACAAACTCAGGGAAGCCAAGAGGTGGGAGCAAGGAGGAAGGGCATTCCAGGCATGAGGGCTAGCCCTGCAAAAGCATAGAGACTAGAGGTGGAGTGTTGCATGTGAGGAATAGTAAAGAAACCAGTGTCACTGGATTACAGGGTACCTGGGAGGGAGTAAGGTGTGAGAAGACTGGAAGGGAAGGAAGAGACCAGATTGTAAAGGGATTTAAACAACATTTTATATTTTGTTCTGTAGATAATAGGGGAATCACTGGAGTTTAAGCCAGGACAATGACACAATGAGGCCTATGTTTTGAGAGAGTCACTTTGACCACTGAGTGGAGGATGAACTGGAGTGGGAAGAGACTTGGGCAGAAAGACGAAGCTGTTGCAATCACAGTGAAAGATGAAGGTCTGCAACAAGATGGCGACCATGTCAAGGGAGAAAATGGGACACATAGGAGATGCCATGAAGATAGAAACAGCAGGATTTGACAACAGATAGGATATGTGGAGAGAGTATTAAAAAGGAGTCAGGAACAACACCTCGGCTGTGAGCCTGGGTAAACTGGAAGGATTGTGGTGCTCTGAACCAAAAAAGAGGAGTTTGAAAGAGGGAAAGGTGAACAAGGGAAGATAATGAATTCAATTTTAAACATGTTGAGCTTGAGATTCCTACAAGACCTCCAGTCTGAGATGTCCCAAAGGCAGTTGCTGTACTGGAAAACAGTGTGGCAGAAATTAAGTTTTGACCAATATATTACAATATAGTCTACAATAAATTCTAAACAAATGTGTGAGCTTAATATTAAGAAGCATGCCGAAAAAATTAGAAACAAATCAAATCATGATTCAGAGCTGTGAGTAGGAAAAGTATTCTTTGGGGAGGGGAGAAATTTAGCATTTTGGTTTTTTAATTCAATTTTATTTTATTTTGAGCTCCAAATTCTTTCTCTTCTACCTTCCCTTTCCCCTCCTTGAAAAAGCAAGAAAAACAAAACCTGTTATAAACATATACAGTCAAGCAAAAACATTCCCACAGTAGTCATGTCCAAAAATATATGCCTCAGTCTTCACTCTTGAGTCTTTCATTTCTATCTGGATGTGGGTAGCAGACCCCATCATGAGTTCTCTGGAACTGTCACTAGTTCTTGTGTTAGCAGGGTTAGGAGATGAATTCTTAACCAAACAAGAGACAGAGACAATTACAAAAAAAATAGATAATTTTGATTATGTGAAACTAAAAAGCTTATGCACAGACAAAAATAATGTGCCTAGAATTAGAAGAGAAGCAGTGAAATGGGGGATAATCTTTGCATCAGATTTCTCAGATAAGATTTGGTATCCAAGATATTTAAATAACCAAAACCCATTCCCTAATAGAGAAATGATCACAGGATATGAACAAACTTCTCAAAGGAAGAATCACAACTGTTAACAATCCTAGGAAAGAATGCTCCAGACCCCTACTATTAAGAGAACTGCAAGGTTTCAACTCACACCCTGCAAATTGTCAAAGATAACAAAAGACGGGAATACTTAATATTGGAGGGGTTGTGGCAAGATAGCCACACTAGTACATTGCGGGTAAACTTGTGAATCAATGCAACCATTTTTGGAATTATGCAGGTAAGTTGACTAAAATGCCCATGCGCCCCAGGGGGGGGAAACAGGTAGGAGAAGAACCAGGAGAAGTCAGTGTCAGGAAAACCTGGAGGGGAGAAAAAACTTGAGAGAAAAGAGTGTGGCTAGGATGTAGCCAAGGGCACTGAGCTCCCCCCACCTGCTTTGTCCTTCTTTTCTTGGCTTATTTAATCTCACCATCTGACACCCTATTATTTTTCCTTTTTGGTCCCCAGGGGAAGAAACTCCCAGCTAATATCAGTGAAGATGCAGAAGAGGGGGATGTATCTGATGAGGACAGCGCTGATGAAATTGATGATGATTGTAAACTCATGAATGGAGATGTAAGTCACAGAGTCCCTCAGGCCTTGGGTGAGAACATGAACCTCAGGCCTTCAGCAAGCTCCCATTCTCATTGGGTTCAGGAGGCATGCAAAGTTGACTTGAGCCCAGGAAGTAACGACAGCCAGAAGAGATGAACAGGGTGGCAGGATCCTCAAGCGATAACATATGGGACTCCCACTTGAAGTTCAGAAGTCAGGAAAGGGAGGCTAAAAATAACTGGGAGGGTGGAGGGGGCTTGCTGGGTGGAAGGTCTTTTAACCAGCAGGATGGCACTGTTCAAAGGGAAATGTTCTTGTGAAGCCCTGCAAATAGATTTGATGCTGGGATGAGGAAGAACAAATCAACTCCAACTAACCCACGCACAGCCTGGGCATCCCAAGCCCATGTCTGCAGTGGTCTCTAGCTAGAATATTCTCCCTGTGTGGCATGCCTTGCTCCAAGGTTCCCTTTGAGTCATAAATTTAGAGCTGGAAGAGACCTTAGTCCAACCTTCCCATTTTACAGATGAGGAAACTGAGGCTTAGTGCCTTGCCCAGGGTTACGTAAGTATTAAGCATCAGAGACAGGATTTCCACCTGGAGACTCCTGACTCCAGTGCCAATGATTTTATCATACTGCTCCCCTGCCCTGGGATGGACACGGCTGCTTTGGAGACCTGCTTACTCAATGGGATCATCTCGGGGATAAGGTGTTTGCACAGTCTATGTCAGGTTTATTAGCATGTAAGCACCTTGAGGTCACAGACTGACTCACTTTTGTTCTTGTATCCCCAGTGCCTGGAACACAGTAGGTGCTTAATAAAAATGCTTATTGGTTTTTGAGGTTTGAGAGGGATCATGTATTCATGGAGGAGACTTTAGAGGTTGTCAGGCTGAGAACAAGCCCTTCATTTTACAGATGTGGAAACTGAGGCTAGAAGATGTTAAGTGATTTGTCCAGGGTTGTGCAGATAACAATTGAGACAGGACTGGAACTCAAGTTTTCCTGACGCCAAATCTGGTTCTCTGTTAACTACCTCATGCTACATCCTGAGGCTTGCCCAGGGTCACGTTGCTAATAATTGGTAGACCCGGGTTTAATGACCCTAGATCAAGCAATCTTTTCACCACACCATGCTCCCCTCCACCCCTTCCTTCTTTCCTTCCTTTCTTTTTTCCTTCCTTCCTTCTACCCCTTCCTCCCTCTATTCCTTGTCCTTCCATCCCTCCCTTTCTCCCTCCCTGCTCCCCCTCCCTTTCTCCTTTGGGACAGCTTCTCCTGACTTCAAGCCTAAATCAGGACTCTTTACCATTTCCCCCTATTGTCTGTGGTTCCAGTCCCTTGGACCTGATAGGATTAATTGGATCCTTCCTCCACAGGATCAACTCTTTGAATATTTGAATCAGGTAATGAACAAGTATTTGGTGAGAGTGTCCTGTGAGCCAGGCATTATACTAGGTACTAAGGATACAACCAAAATATGAGGGGGAGGGGAGAGAGAAGGGGGGGGAGAGAGAGAGAGAGAGAGAGAGAGAGAGAGAGAGAGAGAGAGAGAGAGAGAGAGAGAGAGAGAGAGAGGAGAGAGGGAGAGAGAGGGAGAGAGGGGGAAGGGGGGGAGAGAGGATGAGAATATTTCTTCCCTCTGAGAGCTTCCATCCTGTTGGAGGAGAGAGTGCCTACACATATAAGTATATAGGAAAAAAAATACAATGTAATTGGGGGTGGGGCAGGGGATAACGGATACATGTTGCATTTGGACTGATGCTTGAAAGAAAGTGGGGCATTTAAAGATACAGATGGAGAAAGTGTGTGTATCAGGCAGGGGCGGCAGTCTGTGCAATAGCTCAGAGGTAAGAGATTGAGGGTCATGTGTGAGGAACAGCAAGAAGGCTTAGTCTGGATGAACCATGGAATCCATTACTAACAACAACAGTAATAGTAACTAGGGTTACATAATGCTTTAAGATTTGCTTCACATGTTTTCTCATTTGATTCTCCCAACCACACTGGGAGATGGGTGCTATTATTATCCCCATTTCATAGATGAGGAAACTAAGGATGAATGAGGTTAAGCGGCTGGCTCGGGACCCCCCAGCTAATAAGTGTCTGAGACAGGATTTGAACTTGGGTCTTCCTGGCTCCCAAGTTTGGGATTCTAACCATTGTGGCACTCCCCCGTCCATAAAGGGAAGTAAAGTAACAGAAGCCTGGAAATTCAGGTTGGAGCCATGTTGTGAAAGGCTTTAAATGACCAATAGAGTCAAATACAAATACAAATAGAGTAGGTTATTTATCTTTGATCCTTCAAGTGGGAGCCATTGGTATTGATTGAGCTCAGAAACAACGCCAGAGAATGTTCCTTTGGCAGAGGATGAGTGATGAGAGAGGGAAGAGAATGGAAAACAGCTCTCCTCTCCCTCCCTGGGCCTTTCTCCTCTAGGCAGCTGGTGTTATACTGAGAAATGAGCGAGTTGACGACCCAAGCTAATTTTAAATTGTGGACTTTATTAGCGCGTGGCTGCCAGGGATATTCACATCCAAATCAAGCAGCCCCCATCAGGGGTCGAGCTAGGGTTTATATAGAAAAGAGCATGGGAAAGAAATGCAGGAACACTGACGAGGTAATCCAAAGATGCAGGTGTCTTTGGGGCTATGGATGGGAAAGTACAGGGAGTGTACAGGACAGGGAGGGGGATGGATCTTTGAAGTCTCGCAAGAGGAAGAGTTCTTGGGCTGGTCAAGGACACCCCTCTCCCTCTGTCTTGATGAGAGAATGCTCTGCAACAAGGGAAAGCTTTCTCACAACACAGGAACTTACTGAGGAATTGGGAGGCCTTCCAGAGACATGATCTGAGGGCTGGGGCCTGAGCAGCCCAGCTCTGTGTAGCTGTACCAGGGAGAGATAAGGGTCATGCTGAGGCCCATGCATGAATAACTGCTAGGCACAGTGTCCTTGAGCTGGGGAGTGGTTGTTAGAGACAGTGTTTCTGAGACTAGGAAGAAATTGGGGCACAAGTACAAGCACAAGCACCCAAGCACCCCATTATTACAGATCAGAGATCACACAAACCAGACCAGGTGTCCTGGTCTCTGGTATAAACATAATTATCTAAAGCAATTATATTGCAAGCTTTCTTATCCATTTGCGTTGGAGGTATGGGCTATGCTGAGCTATGCAAGAGTACATTTCACTATTGTTTAGATTTAGGAGGAAAGAGGTCTGGGGCAAGATTAAGCACCAACTTTTGCTTTCCATGGCTTAAAGGGCCCTACTACCTAAATGGCAAAATAATGTTCTGTATTACACTGGCACCTGGGCTGCAGTGTGCGGTCATCACCATGTAGCTGGAGCCTTTCATCCACGGTCTCCTTTCCTACTTCTGGGAAATGGCCCATCAACCTCTCTCCTCAAAGACACTGGAAGAGTTAAAAAAATAAAATCAAAAGTAGCCCAGCCCTAGAGAACGAGCTGTCTTAAGAGCAGGGAGTCCATCCTGTTGCTTACCTTTTATAGCTGGTGATTATTACTTGCAATAAAACATCTGTAGGTGCCCTGGTGTCCCGATCTTCCTTTGCTTGCTGGAGTTCTCAAGTGGGGAGTCTCTCCATCACTGTATTGCTCCCCTTCTAGATGACCTAGGTGGGGCTGGACACCTTTACGAAAGAGATTGAGAAGTCAGGAGTTTTCTTGATGGTCCTGAGGGAAGAATGACTGTTTAAACCTTACAGGAACCAGGGAAAACAAATTGTTTGGCTATTTCCGAAGTCATACAGTGCTCTGTGATTAAAGTCTTACAGCTCTTCTCTGAGTCACTGTGATTTTATTATCCCCTGAGGGCCAATGAAATGGGATGACAATTACAGGGGAAATCTCCCCAGGAACGGGCCTCCTCCCAGTTGTTTGAGAGCTGGCAGGAAGAATTCAGAATTGGGTTAGGATGGCTGTGTGAATCTCTCAAAATTAAAAACCAGAAATGCCTGAGGATGACTTCACTTCTTTTCTTAAACCAATTGTGAGTTGTGCATTCCAAGAGAAAGCAGACCTCTGTGTCCCTTACTGCCTGGCAGGGCAATAATGGAGACTCGGGAGCTAGGAAGTCAGGTCACAAAGGAAGGGGTGAAGCCTGCTGTTCTCTGCCCTGGTCTGATCCCATCTGGTTATTTATGGAAACTGGACAGCCTCCGGAGGAGCAACCAGCCTCATTCAATCAGTGAGGCATAGATCATAACATTATCATCCTATCATAGATGATATATCTGTTATAATAAAAATTACAATAGCTAGCACTTAGGTAACACTTTCAGGTTTGCAAAGCATTTTATAAATATTATATTATTTTCTCTTCGTAATAACCTAATATCCCCATTTTACAAATGAGGAAACCGAGGAGGAATGAAGTTAAGTGACTTGCCCAGGGTCACACAACTGGTAAGTGTCTGAGGCTGGATTTGAACCCACATCTTCCTGACTCTGGGCCCAAGCAATCTATCCAATGTGCTACCTAGTTGTCTTTATAGGTGTGGCATGTTCGCCTCTAAGAACAGAGGCACAGAATCCCTGCTATCTCCTTCCCCTCCACCCCCACCCCCACCTCTATATAACTACAGGGTTTATAAATAACCTACTAAGCATCAGTGGAACACCCACTCATACGAAAAGATACAAGGAGACATATGTTTGCTCCTCATCCTTGGGTCTCAGTTTTGATCTGTTTCTGGGAAATGAGGTCATACCTGTAGCTGTAACCCAGGAAATTGTCTGAGCCTAGACCATATGTGTAGACCCATTTGGAATAGCCCAAGGGAAGTAGAATCTGTGCCATGTTATATCGAGGCAAATGAAGGGAAATGAACCCTTCGTAAATGTACCAAGCTAGAGTAACGCAGCCTTTGAGTACACCAATCATCAGTAGACCTGATAAAAATAAAAACAAGGTTTAATGGAATTCCTTTCACATCTGGGTTTGTCCTCATGGGCTCTCGTTTGTCTGCTCTTCTACCCTCCTTCCCTTGGAGAAAGGTTCCTAGTCTAATCAGACTACATCAGTTGCACCTCATGGCCTCGGGGGTCCCTGCCAGCTCTGAGCTATGCTGCTGCTGAATACTGGTCACGCCTGTTGATTTTAGCAACTCTAGTCCTCCCAGGAGGGGAATATTTGTCAGTTCTTGTTAAGTCATTTCAGTCATTGTCCAACTCACCATGACCCCATTTGGGGTTTTCTTGGCCAGCATTCTCAAGTGATTTGCCGTTTTCTTCTCTAGCTCATTTTACAGATGAGAAAACTGAGGCAAACAGGGTTAAATAACTTGTGCAGGGTCACACAGCTTGTAAATGTCTGAGGCTAGATTTGAACTCAGAAAGACAAGCCTTCTGGATTTCAGGACCGGCACTCCATCCACTTTGCCACCTAGCTGCCCTTGGTGGCTCTAGACTTTCCCTATTCTGGTAGGTCAGGTGATTGACTAATCAGATGGTGACCTCTTCTTGGCTCACCAGGGAGCCACACCCCCTCTGTGGAACTAGAGGTGCCTGGCTTCCACAGCATATTGTCTCCTGGTATCTGGCTAACTCAATTCATTTCAGCAAACGTTTATTCAACACCTACTACGTGCCAGGCATTTTACTGGACATAGGAAACACAAAACCAGAGATTAAATAGTTGCTGCCCTCAGGGAGCTTATATTTCTACTAGGGGTATTCACAGGTATTCAGGTAAGCAGTTAGTCAATAAGCATTAAGCACCTACTATGTGCCAGCCATTTTACTGCACACAGGAAACACAAAACAGAAATTAAATAGTTGCTGCCCTCAAGGAGTTTGTATTTCTACTGAGGGAATTCACAGATATTCAGGTAAGCAGTTCGTCAATCAATAAACATTTATTATTAAGCACCTACTATGTGCCAGGCACTGTTCTAGACATGGGGGGGATACACAAAGACTAAGAAATAAAATGATGCTCTCAGCTTCTGTTCTATTCCATGTGCATGCTGGTTATTAGCTTGATCTGCTAGGTAACAGAGATTCTCACCTGGGGACTCTGCCCTTTCCAGGCTTCCACTAATCGGAAACGAGTGGAGAACATCGCCAAGAAGAAATTGGACTCACTGATAAAGGAATCCAAAATCCGAGACTGTGAAGACCCCAACAACTTTACCATCTCCACGCTGCCTTCCTCAGGGAAGTTTGGCCAAAAGGCCGAAGGCAAGAAGGTGAGCCTTTCATTGTCTCTTTCTCCAGAACCTCCTCAGGCCCCGTCCTTCTCTCCCTCCTTGTTTCTTCCTTTTGGGTCCTTGATAAACCTGACTCTGGCCTCTTCACTCATCTCTTTGCAGAAATTTGCTTCTCTGGGCCTCAGCCACAGACAAAGCTATGGTGAGTCTCACCTCCTCCTCTGCATGTTCCTCTTCCTTAGTTTGAGATGCTTCCTGGTACAGTGGACAGAGGTCCTGGACTTAGGAAATCTCTGGGGTCCAATAACTAACTGTGCCATTAGGGAAAAGATGCTTCATTGTTCTGAGCCTCAGTTTTCTCATCTGGAAAATGGACATAATAATATTGGTCATAACTACCTCATTGGAGGACTAAATGAGTTCGTGTTTGAAAGCCCTGTACATTCAAAGAAAGTTAAATGCAGGGTGTCCCAAAAGTCTTTGTATAAAGGCTATAAATTTACCCAAAAAAAATCCTTTGACAGTTTGATTATTCATATTTCTTTTACATTTATTTAGATTTATGAATCTTGAATAGTAAGTGTTCATCTTAACAAGATGTACACCGATGTCATCATGCCTTGTATGGATGGCAAGTTACTTTCTCCGCCCCATGCAGGGACGGAGAAGGTCCTCATGCTCGGCCACCTCGGTCACCTCATCTATCTCCACTGGACTTTCGCTTGTGGACTCAAGTCCAAACTGCCACATACACATCGAAACCTCATTCTCTGCATGATCTCAAGGCCAGTATTACAAAGGCAGGCATTTGTCACATAGCAGTGGCTGCTGAAAGTTTTTACAAAGATTTAAAACTGGTCAGAGTGATTGCTAGAATTTTGCTGTAAAAGGGTTAAGCAGTGATGTATAGCACAAGTGGTGGTTACTGTAAATATTAATAAAAATAATATATTTAAAAATTTAAGTAATTAACCTTTAAAATATTGCTTCTTCTTCATTTGTAGCATTTATGCTTCTAAAGTTATTAAAAACTTATAAACCACACTAACGTTTTTGGGATATCCTATATAAATTTCAGCTATTTCTGCTTCCTTTCTTCCTCCTCCTCTTCCTCCTCTCCTTCTTCCTCCTCTCCTTCCTCCTCTTCCTCCTCTGCTTCTTCCTCTCCTTCATCCTCTTCTTCCTCTTCCTCCTCTTCTTCCTCCTTTTCTTCTTCTTCCTCTCTTCTTCTTCCTTCTCTCCCTCCTCCTTCTCTCATTCTTTCTTTTCATATACTCCTTGCCTTTCCTTTCACCCTCCATTCTGGTACTTAACCTAGAGGCAGGGGTTAGTCTTCTAAGGCAAACATAAATGAAAATCAGTGTCCAAGGACAGAACTCTGGCTGAGGCCTGAGACAGAGCCCAGCTCACTGGCCTCCTGTAGTAGCCCAGCTATGCAGCCACCTGCCTGGCATTGTGTTTGTGAGATGTCTATTTAGCAGGAATCAGAAAGGGCCTCTCTCACAGCCCTCCTGAGGTCTCGCTGCACGTGGGGCGGTTCTTTGGAGGAGTGGATCTGAGGTGGATGAGAAGACAGGGGGCTAATTTTTGTTTGGGTCCCCCAGCTTGCCTAGGTCAAACCCAAGTCCTTCTGACTCCAAATCTGGCATTCTTCCCCCTATCACATGCTGCCTCCTAAGTCTCTAGCCCAACTTCCCTCTCTATAACACAAACATTGCAGATTTCTAGGGCTGTGTGTGAGGGTGGCTTATTCTTGGGTGGGATGGGGGCTGTGGGGAGCATGCTGGGTCAACTTCTTCCCAGCAAGCAACCAGATTTCCATATGGGTGAGCAAGTGTCTGACCGGCTCCCCCCCATGCCCACACCCATCCATGCACACACCTAGCTGGCAGTGCTGGATGGAGGACCCAGAGAAGGAAGGGGCAGAGGTGGCCCCCAAGGGGTGTGGCCCAAGCGATGCCAGGGCTGTACCCTCCACCTAGGCCCCGATTATTTTTAGAGCCATCGATCGTTTGGGTTTCCACCCACATGGCATCGAGCCACGGCATAGCTGATAACCACGCAGCGAACTCTGAGAAATACACTATTTAAAGCTGCTCCCAGCGTGTGTCTTGTGTTTATCTGTCCTGCTTATTGGGGGTGCTTTATTTTTAATATCCAGGCATCTGGGTGGAGGAAAACAGCACCTTTTGTTGTCAGGGCTTATCTGCTTTTGAGGCCAGTGATGATCCCCCACCATGGTGCCTGTGAGCAAAGCCCAGATGAACCATAGGGCTGATCGGCCTTCACACCTGGTGACAAGAATAGGACATAGTCTCTGATTAAGCCACCCCCCATCAAATGTGGTTTCCTCCACTTTCCAATCCTTTGCCTTTGTGAGCATGTATTGAGTGCCTATTATGTACAGAATGTAAGCCATTGTTGGACCATGCTAAGAAGGAGACAGGAATTGATTCATCGATGACAATGATAATAATAGCAAGAATTTATGTAGTGCTTTAAGACTGGCCAAGTGCATTATAAATATTATTTCATTTTTATTTTCACAATAACCCTGGGAGGTAAGTGCTAATATTATCCCCATTTTACAGATGAGGAAACTGAGGCAATTTAAGGTTAAGCAACTTGCCCAGGGTCACACAGCTAGTAAATGTTATCTATTTAGTGTCTACTAAATACAACTGAAGAGGTGACTGTGGTATAGACAGCCAGCCTCAGTGTCAGGAAGATGAGTTCGAGCCTTACCTTTGATACTTACTGACTGTGTGACCAGGAACACGACTCTTAACCTCGCAGTGTAGCTAGACAATATTCCAAACATGTAAGCTGCAGAACAGGTCCTGATCCGGTGAAGGGAGTTTCCTCCCAGGGAGTGCCACCCCCCCCCCCCGATGAAATCACAAATTCAGTCCAAAAAGGTACCAGGGACTGATGAATCAAAAGGAAAATGAACCAATCCCTGCCTTCAAGGTACTTACCTTCTATTGGGAGGAGGAAGGAGAGGGAGGGGAGAAAATGGTGTGCAGAGACAGAGAAGTACAAGGTGGGGTCTCTTTCCATGCTCCAGAAGTCCACAGTCCAGCTATAGGGAGCAAACAGGTACATGTGGAGTCTTTATCATAGAACAGGCAGCATGCTACCAAGTGGGGAAATTGCCCAAACAGAATAGTACAGCTGCTGGATTTCTGAGGCAGGCATGTCTGCATGTGCTGGCATAGTCAGGGCGGGTGTCCTGGAGGAGGTGGGCCCTGCCTTAGGCCTTGAAAGATGGGCAGGATTTGAATGTGTCTCCTCCGTGACTAGTTCTTGAAAGGAGTAATTCAGGAGAAATCCTCAGAGCCCTGGAATCTCAGGACTAACATGGGTAAATGAGATGATGAGATGGCAATGAGACTTGTGGGAAGGGCAGGGAGGATAATTAGTGAAAATGCTCCTGGAAAGGGGAAGTATTTGGCCCCTAACATCTAGATGGGGCTACTGGGAAGGCTACTGGCTCTGCAGACAGAGCAGCTGTATTCAAATCCCACCTCTCTAAACCTATCTGGGCCTCAGTTTCTTCATCTGTAAAATGAGGGACTTGGATTAAATGGACTCTGAGATCCCTTCCAACTCTAAATCTATGATACCAGGAACTTATTATTACCTTGTGAACTTGGGTAAAGTGCTAAATCTCTCTGGGCCTCAGTTTCTCCATCTGTAAAGTAAGGATGGGAGAAGTGGACAGAGGCAACATAAGTAATGATTGATAGCTAGCCTCAGAGTCAGAGTTTAAGTCCTACTTTTGATATACATTGACCATGTGACCCTTGAGCAAGCATGCTCTGTGCCTCAGTTTCCTCATCTGTAAATTAAGGGACTTGGATTAAATGTACTCTAAGATCTAAGATCTCAGGAATCTCTAACATTCCACCTTTAAATCTCTGACATATGATTTGATTTCCCTCCTAGCTCTAATTCCTTGTAGACAAATTTGTCAGATGCCATCATCAGTGGCTCTCCTGCAGTTACTCACAAATTGAATACCAAGTAATCTGACTCCCTGACCGCTTTGAGGTTATGGTGCTAAGCACTTCTGATGTAGGTTGCAGGTGGCATTTGCCTTTGAAAAGGGCAGAGTGCAGAAGTTCAGCTGGAAACATCCTTCTGAGAAGCCAGTGGAAGGGAAAAGGGCAGGGGGCAGATCTTCACCATCATCATGGTTGGTCTAGATGCTAGGCTGACCAGCTTGGGCTCTGCAGCCAGTCAGAGAAGAAATACTATCCTCCACCAGCACTCAGTGTTTTTCCTCCTTTAATTATGACAAATATTTATAGGCGTGTTAGGTTTTCAGTAACTTCTGTGTTCCAAGCAATGTTTAAAGGGTAGTGAGGCATGTAGGACCGAGTGCTTTCATAATAAGCCATCAATATCACTTTCAGCAGCCTTTTTTTTTCTATCCTGAGTGCTCATCAATAAATTAGGGAGAAAATGGGCTAGCTCTGCTGTGGCAAGAGACAAAAAGAAAGGGGGGTGAGAGAGAGAGAGAGAGAGAGCAACAGAGAAGAGAAAGAAGAGAGACAGAGAAAAAGAGACACACACATACACAAAGACAGAGAGATAGAGACAGAAAGAAATACAGAGAAACAGAGAAGAGAGAAAGGAGAGAGAGAGAGAGAGAGAGAGAGAGAGAGAGAGAGAGAGAGAGAGAGAGAGAGAGATGCATCTATAAAAGCAATTTTGGTCCCTGGAGAAGGGGGAAAAAAATCAAATCAAACACCTCCTGTTATTGGAAATCCAGGCTTTGAATCTGAAACCTATGGGGAATGTAGGCTGGAGGAGGGGGATGGCAGCATCTCCACTCCTTCTGGCTGACATCTCTAAATGCCACAGAAATGGATAATATAAGAGAGCAGCCAAATGCAAGGTAAAATCTTTCATGTCACATAATTAAGGAAAAAGCAAAGGGAAAAAAGAATGGGCTTCAGCAAAGGGCCAGCAGAGAAACAAGATACAATTGGTTTCTGGAAATGGTTCTTGACACCTGGGGTGGACAGTGCTTA